CACATACCCATGACATTCGTGCTTATAAAAACAGATTAAAATAAAATTCACCACATATTTGGATTGGAGCATCTGCTATCAGCTTCATCTATGATTAGACAGACTCAGACTGGAGATAAATTGCAGCTGAAATAGCCATTTTTGGTTTCAGCTTCTGGTTGTTATTTAACCAGAAGCATCAGAGAGCACTTTAAGGATATATTATCTGTTCAGTCTGTGTCACTTCTCTTGTTTGACTTCCAGTGTTTTTGCCACTGATTCTGGTCCATGATGAAAAATAATTTCTATTATTGCTCAAATTAGATAATTCACAGTTACTCACAGTTCCTCTGTTTTATCCTGCTTTTGTTGTACGAGTCATATTTTCATGTTCTCACTCTCTGCTCCTCTGACAACCAGGTGCATCCATTATCTATACCACTTATCCTGAACAGGGTCATGGGGGGCTGGAGCCTATCCCAGCTGATATTGGAGGGGGGTACATCCAGGACAAGTAGCCAGTCTATCACAAGGCTGACACTCAAGAGACAGACAACCACACACTACAGGCAATTTAGTCACCAATCAACCTAAGCTGCATGTCTCTGGACTGTAGGAAGACGGTGGAGTACCCGGAGAGAACATGAAAGGTACCGAGTTGACTGGGGGCTCAGACCCAGAACCTTCTTGCTATGAGGCAGCAGCACTAACCACTGTTTCACCATGCCACCCTCTGACAACCAAATATTCTATTAAAAACATGTTACTTTTCACAGTTTGCTGTCATATACATGTATTTTTATTTCCAACATCTCAATGGGAGTTAAATTTGAGCCAGATGTGAGACCATAAAATACATAAACAAGTAATCGAATTTCACCCTGAATGCGTATCAGAATGACTGTTTGAAATGCACACAAGGGGAAAAAGAGGTAAATGAGCTGCAGCTAAATGGCAACTGTTTTCTCTTAGAATTAAAGGTCACCTGCAGAGTTTTTTTTTTTTTTTTTACCACAAGTCGTGGTTTTGAGTAATGTTTTGATGAGTAGGTAGCCTAACTATTTGTACATCCTGGACTAATACAAGTATTAGGATGTACGAGGCACAGGGGACATTACAAACATTGCTGATGCAGACTGCAGATGCAAATACAAATGTGCAATTAAAGAGCTGAGTCATGCCCACACCTTCTGATTTAAGATGTTTTTGTTTGCCAGTGCAGCTGTTAATTTTGATATAGATGTGATGCCATAAAGTTTGCACAAAAAACACAAACTGGTAGATTTTAATCTAATTTTGTGATAGATAAGTTGTAGAATGATTGAGGGAAATGTAAAGTACACAGAAATGAGCCGCAACTACATTCTCCTGAAATTAAAGGTCACTTATGGAGACTTATGACCGTAAGTGGTGTTGTTTGATTAGCTGGTCCCTATTGCCATGGCAGTGTGAACACATATGACCAGCACAAGCACTGGGATAATATATCAAGCATTTCTGGTGACTGCAGTAGCCAAAGTAAATCTGTAGTGGATGTTGAAGCTAGGTTTGTGCATCAAATGATATTTAGGCCTTTACTACATCAGCTGGAAACCTATCATCAGCTGGACTGTGTGTCAAATCATCTGACTCATTGAACAAAACTGACTCTTACCTCAAAGACTGGCCATGTCTGTCAAATGAAAGGAAAGAAAACAGCTGTATGACAGCCCTCAATTTCACTTGGTTCCCAAAAGTGCCAATAAAAAGGAGAAAAACAAATCTAACATAGGCTTCAAAACATTTTTAAAAGCCTTTGCATATGTTTTCATGATAAAAAAATGTTTTTGTCATTATTGGTAAAGTCCCTGAAATTAAATTTTTTTAGCTAACTAAATATTGTGTGGGGAAAATAGTGTTCTTGTACAGTCCATCAATGATTTTTAGGCTTTGGGGTCTTTAAATGTTAAGAATGCACATAAAAAACTCAGGGTGTAATGAAAAGTAAAATGAGCAGTGCAAAAGTAACCTTTAAGGTTTAAAGGTTACAACAGGCAAAGGAAGAATCTAGATGATGTGGAATGGGGAACAACAACTGCAGGAATGAAAAGACACTTACAAGGATAAATAAAATGCCCATAGTGACCCAGACTATCAGAAACAAAGGCAATGTGTCACACCTGCGAAAACACACAGCCACATCCACACACAAACCAAAGTGCATACACGTGCTATGAGGCAGCAGCTGGTTGGGAAGCAGAGACGCAGGTCACGCAGGCCCAGGTGGTAGCTCTATAAAGTGACAGTGTGATTTAAGTCCTGTGTCGTCGTAGGGTCTGTTATCTGCTGCCGCTAACGGGGCCACGGCGATATGGTCCGACAGCCGATGACTGCAGTTTGGGAGGTAGTGCTGATAACAGAGGTTCAGCCTGTGTAACTCCCAGCCGCAGTGCGCAGTTACATGAATGATACAGTATGTTTAAACAGATGTCCAGTCCATTTGTATGCAGGGGAGCAGTCAGACCCTTCACTGTCTTAGCTCATATTATTGACTGGACTTTTTCCTGTTTGTTTCTTTTAGATGATTTTCACTTTTTTCAGGGCAGTTCATTTAAGAGTGGCGATGGGGAGGGAGACGAGGACGACGAGCAGCAAATGTCCCTGGCCAAATTTGAATCCAGGACGTTAGAGTGACATTACACCTTAAACAGGTGAGTCACCAAGATCCACCTTTCTCTTTGTCTGAACATACATAAACATGGGTGTTTTCTCCACCCACCAAGCAAAGAGTTTTACCTGCAGATTCTGTTTATGACAAGACTCTCAGTATTTTGTATATTTAATCATTCGTTAGTTAAGAGCAATACAATGGTATTTAGAAGACCAACTAATTCCCAATTTAATATTACATTTACACATTTTCATAGTAGGCTTTTTGCAGTTAGACTACTTGAACTTTATTGCTTTATTCTTCGGCAAATTGTTCAATTGTGCCAAATGTCGTTAAATACGCTGTGGAATAACACATCACCAAAACAAAACCTTTTCCCTCAAATATTTATAGTATAATACTTGCCTGATTTCTTTCTGAGGTGCTACTGCAACTATTTTCATTACTACCATCCATTTTAATTTTCTTCCAGCTGTGAGCAGTTCCTCAGTTTCCTTTGAGGAATTCATTGTGAAACAAACAATGTGTTCCAGTTCCATAGTTTTTGAGTTTGTTTACACTCTGGAAAAGTGGCAAAGTTTGGTACACTGAAAGTCAGCGTGCATACTAAAAACACTTAAAAAATATGCAATAGAAAAATGGTTTGGGGTAACATTTTGTTTCAGTAATGTAAATAATGGCACCAGCTTATGCTCTTTTCTCACATGAGCCCATTTCTGTGGTACAAACATGTACCATGAATCTTGGTCTTTGTCATTCTGAGTGTTCTCTTTGATCAGTCTGAGTGTTTCAGATCATATATTAAACCTGTGATGAAATAAATCCAATCCCTGTACATATCGTCTTTCTCCCAACAATGTCTGAGCTTCCTCACAGACCCAAATGAGACAGTTACTCAGTCGACTGGCGAGTCAGTAAGCTGCCACTAGGTTCCACCTGATCAGCAAGTCAAAGCTGAGGTGGCGTGTCTGCTGTGGTGCTTGTGGAAATCTGGATAATTAGAGTTGCGTGCGATCACTGCTCCATCCCCACCGAGCTGATGATTATCCCCTGCACCACGCAGGAAGTACTGACTGTAAACCGCTGAACACACACACACACACACACACACACACACACACACACACACACACACGCACACAACGAGGTAAAGACAAATGTGTTAATCAGTAAGACTGTTTGAATGTGTTATGTTGTTTTGGACTTTTAGACATTAATAAAACACAAAGAGTAACAGACAAGCAGAGGCACAGACATATAGGAATACCTCTCTCAGCACTCATCACACTTTCATTAGATGCAGTTCATTGTTGCACCTCGAGTTTGGTCTCTGTTACCAATCAGTAATGACTGAAGCGCCGCATTACACCCAGGAGCATTATTTCCTGTAATGAGATTCTTCTCCCCAAGCATCCCCGCCTAATCCCGCGTCTCTATCTGTGCTTTGTGGACCTTCGAAAAAGCTGAGCCAAGCCGAACATGGACATTCTACATGAAATTCAGTGTTAACCCTGCCAACCTTAACAAGAGCAAGACAATGGAGCTCAAATTGAAAGGATGCTATGCCTATTACAAACAAGTTAAGCCTCTTAAGGAGTTAAGAGAGGTCTTGATGACATGTGGGGGAGAGAGCAGTGTGGAACTTGGAGGAAATGAGCAGAGGCTAGTCAGAGAAATTAGGTTCATCCTAAACAATAGTGGGCCTGGATCCTGGTTTTCATAGACATTAACCTGCAGTTCTCTTTGAGGAATTGACAGAAAAGGACTAAACAAATGGGTCTGTCTTTAAATGACAGAGTTTAGTTATATTGTGCCAAATGTCTCCGACAAACAGTCATGATAAATTTCACAAAGCCAATACTCCTTCCAGCTTTCCAGGTCTCATCTGCAGCTTGAATAATTTAACAGTTTTGAATATTCAGTATGTGCCTAGATGCTGTCAGAGAAGTTGTGAGACCAGCTGCAACCAGGGTGTTTAGAAAGGCTGCCAGAATCATGTTACCTCATTAACCGGATTTTCCCCAGACCAGCATTTGGCTGATGTCTATAACCCAAGCAGCACACACTACTGAGTCTCCCATAAAAGATTCTTTTTAGAAAGTGGCCACCAGTGCCGCATAGACTTAAGAAACTCACTTTGATAACACCTCATGAAAGGGAAGACTGAGCACTAGCAAAGCACAAAGCGCTGAGCAGGACATCAGCATCGATAAGGTCGATATTATAGCAGCAAACAGAACAGTGAATGTCAAAGCACTAAGTGATACTGATTTGTCAGAGTGATAAATTGGAGGTCTGCAGTGGAATGTAGTGATGCTGTGCCCAAAACAGGCAGGAGCAAACTGATATAGAAGACTGGGCCTGGACTCACCTGTCTTTTCCTGTCTCCTTCTTGAAGACCATGTCGCAGTAGTTCATCCTATCCTCTGTGGTGATATAGATGCGTGCATGGGGGTAGTTATCCACAGCCTGACGCAGCATGTTGTACACGATGCCTTTCCCATCCTTCCTCATGTTTCGTAGCGGCCCCCACACGACGTAGACGGTATCGTTGCCTTGGCCAAAGAAGTGCTGGGGCTTCTGCAGCAGCAGGGGGACACTGGTGTGCGAGACGACCCTCAGGGTGGTTCGGCGGCCCACGTCATTTTCAAATCCCCGAGTTGGTGCGTTGTTCATCCGCCAGATGCAAGGAGAACGGTCTATCTTTGGCCCAGCAGCCTGCCCCAGCATCTGGCCAGAACTGGACACGATGCTGCAGAGCTCGCAGTGCAGCTTCAGGGGCTGGAGGAGAGTCCGCAGGTCAGTTACAATGATATCATTCTTAATTAGGTTTTCATTTTCTATCTTTACTCTCTGCATTCTGCAAGATCAGGGTCAGCATCAAGTCCAAGTCCAGTCTCACAATAGCTGGGACAAGTTGACGTCTCCAGTCAAAATCAAGTAAGACAAGTCCAGGACTAGTCTTAAGACACATCTGAGTCTCATCTTTGTCATTTTAATCTGACTTGAATCCATATACAAGTCTCATAACTGCAGCTGTTGTTTCAAAAAGACAATAGTTGATCTATAACCTTTATCAAAGTCTGTCCATATTAATGCAATGTTGGCAAGACTGTGGTACAGCTCAGAGTAAAGGCATGAGAATGCAAAATAGTTCAGAAACCGAAGAGAAAGAACATTTAAAACTAGAAATCTTATCTACTGGTGAAGTCACAGCTATTGATCATCACCTCTGTCAGTTCCTGATGAATTTTATGGTCCATCTATGTTCAGGGACAAAAATTCTTCATTTTTTATCATCACATATTTCCAAAAATGACCAGATATTATGTAGTTTTTAGGACTTAAAACTGACTGCTGATAATAACTGGGGACAGATTTAAAGTACCTGTAGCTTTTGCCTGATTATTTTAACACGGCTCAATTTTAATTTCATTAAAGGTTTTATTAATTGAATGGTAACCTCTGAGTGTGGTTTTCTTCTAAAAATCTGCCACATTTCATGTTTAATTTTTATCCTATGGTGTTACAGTTTTTGATAAATTTATATATGTACAGAAATAATACTAAAGTGATGTTTTGGCAAGCTTCTTCTTCTTCTAATCAGAACATAAAATAAAATGCATTTCATAATTACTTTTACAATTGTATCAGGGATTTAAAGGCCTGTATAATTTTCTTATATTTCCCATGATAAATATTTCTGTGCCCAGAACTAGCACTGATTAAGTTAAGTGAATGTAGGACCACAAAATCTACAACGAGGGATTTACAGCAAAAATGCAGAGCAACAAAGAACAGAAGTTGCGTCATTTATCTTACTGTATATTTTTCATATCATGCTTTACTGGAGCAAAGGGATTTGTAATGAATGTTCAATAATAGCTCTTAGCTACGCTTTGCCAGAGGAAGAAGAAAGCTCCCTCTAAATCTGAAATGGGAGATTTACCTAATTGAAGCTAATATGCTTGGTTTGTTTTGATGAGATTAAACTTGCTTAAGTGAATGAATGCCAGGTAAAGTTGGAAAAGAAAAAGCTTTGTGTCATGACTAAGTCTTCTGATCATTTGCTTAATGGAGAATAACTGTAATGTCACTGCTTTGAATACAAATTGTGTTTGTGTTGCATTCTCTCTTGCACATTCTGTATTTAATCAACAAATGAGAGTTTTAGTGTGCAAAGAGAATGCCACAAAACAATCCAGTAAATTCTATTACAACTACTCAGCCTATCAGCACTCATGATCAATTGTTGTGATTATAGAATATCAACTGCTGAGAAAAGAAATTAAAAAGAACTGTGGAATTTCTTTCCAATATGACATAACTCTTGGGTGAAGTACGTCAGCAGAGCTACCTGTTATTGCCTGTGTCTGGATTCAATCATGGGTTAAGAAATGATCTCTTGACCTAGCTCTCCATTTATTTACTGGATGGTTGAGGCCCACATTAAAGCAGCCTTAGCTGTCAGCGACTCATCCAGCATCGCCTGCTCCCCTCAGCCCAGCTCCCTGCTCCATCACATCTCTCAGCACAGACAGATGGGTCAAGCTCTGGGGGGAACACTGGCAGGCTGTTACTAGGTTTTGCTTAACGTTTGTTCAGGATTGCACCATCTATATGTGTTACGTACGGCAGCACTGATCATATGCCAGGAATAGCCAGGACATTCGAGACTCTTGTTTACAGCGATATGTTTGTAATTTAAACATCATTCTCCTAGACTGTACAAAGCCTCATGGGGCCTCAAAGCCTGCGTTTTCATCTCTGTATAAGGTCCTACATGAATTTAGACGCACCATTAAAGGTAACTAGAACAGGCTAAAATTAGAATGTAGATGCTAGGAACTTCTCTTGCCACCATAAATAAAGGACAAACCCATCTGATTCTACCACATTATGATGTTGTAGTATGAGCAATGTTCACCCGAGCTCATTAAGTAAATTGCCGGAACTGGGAAACTCTCGTGTCCCGAGTCTTCAACTTCTTCCACCTGCCAGTCACAAAAGTAAAAAACATGGCACTCTTGTCACAGGCTAAGTGCATGTGAGACACATGGGTTTGGAAACCTGCTGCTAAGGAGCCCTTGAGCACGGCAGGTAGCACACAACTACAGCAGCAGAGCTCAGTGACAAACAATAAGAGACTGTGGTCGTACTCGAACCATATGAAGCAGAGAATTGATCAAACAGCATTTTCCTGCAGTAAAAAGTAAAAACTGGCATCTGAGATGTTCATAATTAATAAAATAAAAACAGCAGTGTACAGCCTGTTACCGTCTTTCCATGAACACTAACCACATTTGCATGACCTCATATAATAACCAAAACGGTCCTGGAACATTTTTATTTAGTATATAGGACGGAAATCCCGTTCCTGCCAAATGTGTAAATCAGTGAACTGTTATGGCCTCTTCATCCTCTCAACTGTGATTCATGTTTTAGCTTCATGCTCATAAAGGTATAATCCTGATAATTTTGTCTTTCTCTGCTAAGTACAAAATCTACTCAGCAAAGCATCAGCTTTTAATGCGTGACTGAGTTGGGAAAAAAGTGGGTTATTTTAAAAAAAGCACATTTAATGCCATGGTCATCATTAAATTATAGCACTGGGGTGTGAATTTACCCTTGACATTCATTAAGTCTCAACACAAATAATTAATAAGCAATAATCATGACATTAACATGCCAAGTCCCAAGTTAAGATGCCTCCTTGGGAGTTAAGAAATCATTTCTGCTTAAAAACTCACTGTCTAGCTGGAGCTGTCTAGACACTGAAAAGTGATTAATTCCAGATGCTCCTGTTGAGGCATGCATCGTACACTGAAGAACATAAATACAGATTATGTCTGAACCTCAGAAAAGAATAATGAACTAAAGTGTCCTGAGATGACTTTTGTTGTGATTTGACACTATGCAAATAAAACAGAATTAAACTGAACATAGGATGATGAACGAGGAGCACCAGTTCTTAAATTCTAACTTTGCCTACTTTAACCACCCTGTTAAACATTACTAAATTAAATGTTGAACCACACAAGTACATTTTTTTTAGAGATTGGGCTGTAGATATTAACATCCAGGGGTTGCATACAGCAGCTAACTGACAAAGCTAATATGCTACATATAAGGGTTGACATATCTGACCTGACATTTCATCAAAATGTTGTTTTATAATGCTGTTAATGATGGGAAGAAAAAATATACCACATATTAAAAATTAATGAGATTAAGTTAAACTAAGTAATCCCCATTTAAATTATCTTAATTAGATATTTCACAGTCACTCTAATCTGCATGGATATTAAATGTGAAAAACATATCTCTCCATTTATCCATGTTGAAATACAGCATACATACATTTACAGAAGTTAGGTATGTACTGTATCGCTTGCCACTCTAAAAATATTATTTTGAGAGTTGTGTTTTTGTCACGCTACAGCGACTCTCTTTATATAATTTACTGCTGTTGATCAGGTGATACATACGTTTCCTGACACAGTGCTCAAGTCTTTAGTAGCTAGGTTTTCATAGCGCAACCCAATTCTTTTTTAAAATCACTAGTCAGAAACTAGCAAGCAGCTACAAAAACATACTGTAGAAAGGTCTTTATGCACAAACCTAGTGATGCACTTCAAAAAAAAAAAAAAAGGTGCAGTTATCCATAAATCAATCCAAAAATAGAAGCTCATGTTGGATGTCGAATTTCAGGTTTTCAGTAGTAAATAACAATACTGAGACTCTGACTCCTTTTGCACTAGGCCAGAGGCATGAATGTAAAGTGCCATAAAACAAATATTTTCTATTTCTCCTGAAAATCTCAGTGGGAACAATTTATCACACTCGAAGTCAGACTTAATCAAATCAGGAAAATAGGAGTTATGCATTATACATGTATGCGAGAGGTTTACAACACCTTAAATGACACCTCACTGGATCATAGGAGGCTGCCTTACTGTCCAGGAGAGATATTACTGCTTCTTACGGTGCTGCTGTGTGCTTAACTGAGCCTGACAGCTCACACAGCAAGCTTTCACTCTGGACATAATCGCTTCCGACAACTGGCACAAGAGCATCACCTTGACCAGAGCTCCTCAATTCTGTCCATCCTTTGTCAGAAATTTTGGGAGTGTGCTGAACACCTTTGACACACATTCAGCTCAATCACTGCCCTTTCGGATTAGTTAGAGAACTCACTCATGAGGTAAACAGAGCTAAAAAGAGGTATAATTCTGCTGAAGCTGTCAGTCTTTCGCTATGATTTGCAAAAACCTCCATGGGGAGAGGGCAGTGATTTAAGCAGGCTTGTCTGGAGGCAGAAGGAGGTGCAGACGTACAGACTGATGTAAGACATGATTGCCTCTGGGCCTATGTTGTGTCAATGAAACTCTTTGGAGGCAGGGGATGACGCACAGCATTAATCTGCCAATATCGGTCTACTGAATATAAGGTATCCACTTCTTATGAAGGACCAGCACATTCATCGCAACTCCAAATCTTGACGCATCACTGCCCAAATGTAAATAACTGAAAGCACAATGTGTGAATGCTCATTCCCTGTCAGATGGAAATGCCGCATGCAGTTCTGCAAGCAACAGATATGTTTTTCCTACGTGACTACCTAGTATCCACCAATATGAGTACAGCTTCAGTTTTCTCCAGCTGCCTCTCCAGACAACAAACACAGCTTGTTTTTTTTACATTTTGATGTGGCGGGAATTAAAAGGCTTTGATATTTCAATTTCCTTAAATTGTGCAGGGAATATACAGCTCAGAGCTGTTTGAAGGCAGAAGAATAGGATCACAGACACAGGTGTTTGGTATTGCAAAGAAATAATGCACACGAGAGACATCAAACAGGCATTTTCAGATCATCACAAAGAGCCTCGTATAATGAATTAAGAAAATCCTCAAGGTGCTTTTGCATGAGTGCATCTGAATTCATCACTGAGGTGAAGCTGTGTGATGGCAGGTTAATGTTAATAGAGGGTTATGGAGTATGGAAGCACCTCAAAATGTTACCTGTGTATGAAATATGTTATAACACTCATAATGTTATATACTGTATAAAATGTACAATACTTCACTGTAAGACATTAATTGTCAATGCTTTCATCTCAAAACTGCAGTGGTCTAAAGTAAGATATGTGTGAACTCTTATTGTTTGAGCAGTACATGAAGTTATGTTAATGTTGGCTTTGGAAGTCACTGCTTCCAAAATAACACTTGTGATGTTTTGTCATTAAGCATCTTATAATAAGCTTTTACTCACTTTACACTCGATAAATGGAACAAATTGAAACATTTAAACGTTTCTCACATTACTAAAACATTACCGCTTTTTTCTTTGTCCTAATATATTTGACATTGTTTAGTAACTGTGTCATCTTTTATTGGCTTTTTAAAAGTATTTAAGTCACAACATTTAGATGCATTGTTGTGTAACACTTGTTATTTGTATAACTCTATAAACATGGCACTCTTGTAAATAGAAAACCCGCTCTCCCTGAGTTTCCTCTGCATAGATAAAGGTTTCAATCACTCAGCCAGTCAAGTTAAATAAAAGTGTCCTCAACCAACCAGGTAATGTCCTAGATAATTCATTATTTATACACTAAAGTCAGCGCTGACATTTCATACTAGAGTAGCATGGGATAATGAAGATTTTGTAACATGAAAATAAGTTCAAACTATTAAAAAGCATTTTTAAGTCACTTTTTGTGCAACAGCTCTACTTCACTAGCATTTCTTTTATTAGCAATGCACTAATAGAAAAACTGTTTCAAAACAGTTTGACATGGATCGGAAATAGAAACTTCACAACACACATGGACTCTGTTAGTGATTATGTCTATATCTGTAGTCATCTATGTGCATGTGTACTTGTGACCCTCACCTCTTGTTTGGGGACGCTGACGTAGCCCGGGTGAGGTTTGAATGCCTTGTACGGCTGCTTGGAGAACATCCAGCGGTTGCTGAAAGTCTGACCAAACACAGGCTGCAGGAGGAAGTAGGGCTTCTCTGAGTAGTTCACCACCACCACGAAGATCGACACTGCCACGATCAGACTAGTGGCGATCAACGACTTCCTCTGCGAAGGGAGAGCAAGTATGACAAGTCTGACAAATGCAGCAACCATAGAACGCACCCCAGTGTATGTTCATCAAAGATAAATGTTATTTATTATCAGTAGCTTGAACTGAAGAGTAAAGGAAAAAAGTAGAGTCTTTCCAGCTGCATCAGAAATCTGTCAACAGCAGCACATATACAGGGAAACGGCAAATTTACCGCATAATAGCAATATAGAAGCATAAAAAAACATCTACCCATAATGGAGGAAGCAGTTTATCATCTTGTACATTTTTTCTGCGACTTTGACAACATTCATGTTCAGGTCAAATTTGTCTTGTGATATTTAAACCCACTCTACTACTCGCTGTTCTGTTTGTCAGCAGCCACACTGCATGTGCACTTTATGCAACTAAACTGAATGATAGCCAGACTCTTTTAAAGAGATTTCAGGCAGTCATTTTCCCCTCTATAGATAATGTTTCTGTCTGATGACTTCTTTGTTCAGATCAGTCACTATCTCATTCATTTCTCTCCACAATGACTTAGACCTCGGAGACTGTGATATTTAAATGACTGCTGCAGATCACTTCCTTCACCAGACTGGAGTGTTATTTAGATGTTATGTTTAGATTTGTTTCATGTGATGCTGCCTTTTAATAATAATCACATTTATTGGCCAAGTATGTTACACACAAGGAATTTGTTTCCGGTACAGAATTGAGGCAGCCATCTGCGGTGCCAACTCACACCGATGGTTCTAACCATTGGGGGCAACTTGGGGGTTCAGTGTCTTGGTCAAGGACACTTTGACATGTGGACTGTAGGCACCGAGATTCGAACCTCCAACTCTCCAGCTGGGAGACGACTGCTCTACCCACTGAACCACTGTCGCCCCCAATTTCAGAAACTTAAAAAAAGCTGAAGAATATATTATTGCAAATTAGTTGGCATAATCAGTTCACATGCTAAGGAAAGGAAACACCTGCATGTGGCAAATAAATACACATCCAAGGGTAGGTTTTGCATTTTAGCTTTGGAGGACTCAGCATTCTGTATCTGTAATCTACAGTAAATCGACACAGTGTGTTGTGTCTGTTTGTTTAGCCGAGCTATTTCATTTCTCTGTCAGGATAACTTAATGTTCTGATATATAGATAACCACAAGGCACATAGCAACGTTTAACAGAGCAAACTACAAAAACAATCTCACCATGGAAACACAAAGGCAGTTTGACACCCTGTGATGTAGGATATAATGTAAAGACTGTGATTGTATTTCACAAGCTTAGGATACAAATACATGTTAACTATGACAGCGTGAATCATGGTGGTGTGAAAAAAAAGTATCCTTCTGAGTCACAAATCCTATGGATCAATGAAGATTATGAAAAGTATATCAGTACTGTCTGACCTGTGCACTCTTGACAGTGAGGTGTCTCTGACGCAGTAGAGCGACATCACAGCATGGAGGGAAGAAAGTGTTAAATTTAGTCATGTTTTTAATTCAACACGTGTAACTGTAACTCGGGTAAACGTTAACTGTAACTCGGGTAAATGCTTCCCGTCAGAACTGATGAAAAGACCCCTGTGAAGCCCTTATTCTCCTCAGATAGTCAATTTGCAAAAATTAACACTTAATCTCTGTTCACTGACACACAATTTTCACTCTCCCTAATGTTACTGAGCCACTGTACTTTAGAAAAGCTGAGATGGCACACAGTTGTAAAGCTGCCATCACTTTTTCAGCCGTCCTAAAAATGTGGCTCCGATGATGGCAATTTGCGTCGATTGGTCCACCGCTTTGGTTAAGGCTGACATATCTTGACTACTATAAAGTGTGCCATAGCAGTGAGTCCTAAAACCCAGAACCCAGTTAGCACTTTTGCACTTCTGGTTCCCTCACCCTGAAGTCTATTGGTTTTTTGGTTTGTTGTACCTGGTACTTTTTACCATACTGACTCTGAGAGACGAGACAGTTCAAGTAACTTCAAAACTCGGTTGGGCTAGCCCCATACTACACAGAAACGTCAACCGAGACGTCTCTGTTACCAGCTTTGCAGCTGGTCATAGCAGTAGTCAAAACATGAAGCAAATCAATGTGTGTGTGTCTGTTGATTAAGTGGTGTGTAGCTAAAAACATTCTCACGACCTCTAGTACATGTCGTGACTTAAACATAAGAACATATTATGGCTAAGGCTACAGTTCTACACGTCATAATAATAATATTAAACACCCTGTCTGCTGACAGTCATCAACTCTTCTCTCTAGTTATCCTTGACCAGATGTACCCTGTAGAAACTCATAAGCATGACTAAGCATTTAACAGTCTAACTAGACATCCTATCTCCACTAAACATTTCTAATACATAAAGTATTTATCTAATTTCTATCTGACTAAAAATACCTAACAGGTTAGACACCTGATATAAGTTCTGTGGTTAACACAAGGCAGATACATTTTTAAGTTTTGTTCTAAAATATATGTCAGTAAATACCCCTGGCAAGCAGGCAAATTCAGGGGTATGGGACAGAAGTGAGGTCACTGAACTTGACCTTTGACCACCAAAATCAAAATCAGTTAATCTTTGAGTCCAAGGGGACATGTTGCAAATTTTAAGAAACTGCCTCAAGGCATTCCTCACATATAGCATTCACAAGAATGGGATGAAAGTGAGGTCATTGTACCATAGCTATCTCCATCAGCCACAGCTGCACTTGTGTTTAGTGTTGTTTAGCAAGTGTTAGCATGCTAACACACTAATGGAGAACATTGTAAATATTATACCTGACCTAACATCAGCATTTTAGCATCGTCAGTGTGAGATTTAGCATGAGGATGTTGGCATTTAGTGCAAAGCACCACCATGCAGCCTCACAGAACCACTAACATGGCTGTAAATGTTTCATTTTGTTTTTAACAACTGTCCACTGGGCACAAATAAAATAATCTACTTTTCTGCTTGAGCATCTCCGTTAATAAAGCAACATCTGGAGCAGCATAGTTTCATATACTGCAAAACAGAATAATGATCATCAGGAAGTAGAAGATATTACAACCTGGTAGAAAGAGCTGAGAGTGATGAATAATGGATAAGAGCTGGAGAACAATGGAGGGTCTCACAGAGGAGAGGCTATTGGCACAGCACAGCTTGACATCAATGCACAGAAGACAAAAAGAATTAGATATAGAAACAAAAATATCTGGTGTGCAACGACATCTCAGAGCCTGAAGTGATGATAGATTTCAGCAGATTCATAGACTTTATTTTTTTGGCACAGGAAACTTCAATAACATGCTGCTAATCTATCAGACAACACCAGTGGGGAGCTCTGGATTTTTAGGAAGGTGGTGTTTCACAGATTCTTTGAAGTTATCTGATGGTGAGAAGATTGGATGTGGCGCGAGGTAATGGTGAAGCCCCCACAGCCAAAGTGCCTGCCTCATCACAAGCACTGATCTCCACCATCAAACGTCCCAGGGGAGATGCTGGAGGTTTCATGTCTTGAGATCAAACGCGTGAGCAGGGGTGGAGTGGATGAAACATGGTGGCCATTTGCTGCCCTGACAAGCTCAATGCATTTTACCAGTTGCATGCATGTTACATCACACATCATTTCATGGCATTACTGCCCATCTTTGATCATAAACAGAGGGGTCTCAACTCTGAGCTTGTAGGAAACAGCGCAAAGAGGACAAATGAGAAATTCTCTATTGCCACTCTATACCTTAAGTATTCTACAAAATAACATAATTTCCTGCAAGAACAGTCTGTTCTACAGTATGTCTGGAAGAAAAAAATGGTAGATCATTTTCAGAAAATGTGCTGTAATAGCTAGTCATCAAGAGTCCATTATGGAGCATGAAACCAATCCCTTATAACGCAAGGGGGTTCTTCAGGAGTGGGGAAAAAAGACAACCCTCGGCTCAGTATTCTGCGCTGCATCATCCATCTGTTCTCATGAGGACAGAAAATTTCCTTGTCTCCTTCAACTTCAATCTGGCCACAAATCACATGGGAAATGATGTGTCAAAGTCTGGAGGCGATTGGAGGGCTCGGCGTGGGCATAGCGGGGCAATGAAGCTCCGCAAGCTTGAATGTGAGACTCATGACTCATATCCTCATTCGCTCATCCATCAGGGTGATCACAAGTCGGCTGTTTGACAGAAGAAGTTGAAAGGCTTGATGCTGAGGAAGGAGCACACTAGCAGAGCAGGGGCAATGGGGACCGTTAACACCAGCAGAGATGTAGCAGAACAGCAATAAAGTTTAAACATTAGCACTTCTGATCAACGTTAAAACATTTTGTTGAGGAATATGACTCCATATGCCGCTGCAATGACCTTGTTTACAACCATCACATCAGACAATGATGGCAATTAACTGCAGTGCCACTTGAAGTTGTAGCCCAGGCACATTTAATTTAACAGACCCAGACCACAAAGCTGTGAGGGGACTATTGTTAAAGGTGCTAAAACCAACTCTGAGGTGGTATTGATCTTTGTTCGCAGACAGACTTTGTGGGATCACTGAGACTCAGGACATGAGGGAGCCATAATTTTCCTCCAGCTTCTCCTGCAGTGAGCCTGTGTGACCAGATTACACATAAGATGGAAAACTATCCAAAAGTTACTGATGACTGCCTCATCTGTTTGTGGCAATGACATAAGTGAATAGACTTTTGTGCAGAAATTCAGCAGTATCTATGGCTGAACAGGAATTAAATACATTTACTCAAATACGGGACTTAAGTATAAACTTGGTGAACTTGTACTCTACTTATGTATTGCATTTTGTGTTACTTTTTCTATTGCTAATATTGTGCTTTTTACTGCACTACATTTATGACTATGGTTCAGTGGGTAGAGCAGTCATCTCCCGGTTGGAGGTTCGAATCTCACTGCGGCGCAACAAAGAACACTTAGTCTTAAAAATGGAAAACCTGAATCATTCATTTAAACATTGGTCTGAAAATGTCCAAACTTAAATATGCCGACTCTAAAAATACTGGAATCACTT